TTTTGTGACTTCATGGAGAAATGTTATTCAGTTAAATGCATATCACACGTTGGATAATTATATTTTTGAATGATTTTTCCTAATTATTTATAGCAAATTTTGACTTGCGTTACTGAGGAAGTAAGCTTCCGAACTGCTTTCGTACTAGCATTTGCCTCTATCAAACTTTAAAAAAATTCGAAACCATAAATTCCAAAAAAGGGAATTTTATCACTGATTCCGAATATTATCGTAGTTTATTTGTTTTTATTGATTTTTGCAATTTTCGTAAACTCTCGGAGGCTTATGATCTCTACAGACTTGCTCGGGAAGAGCAAGTCATAAAACCTAAATTACTGAGTGTTCCAAAATTTTTGAGTTTACAGTAAGCTCAAAAATAACTATATAAGTAAACCTGAACTCTACAACAGATATTATTCGACATAAAAAAAGAGAGGGAACAGGGACAAGGTGGTTCATTTTGGCTTCACGGAAATGACTTATTGAATAAATCATTTCAGATTAGTGGGAACTATTTCCAAGAAATAGAATATGAGTGCTTTTTCTTTTTGCATTCGAAAAGTGAGAGCTTTTTATCTGTTACAAAGCGCATGATTTCCTTTTACAGTTGCTATGAAAAATATTGCGAGGGAAATTTTGTGCCCATATGTAATGTTGTGCCAAGAAGAAAGTAGGCAGAATTAATTTCAAATAAGACAACTCTAGTGGTCGTAGTGCGAAAGGCAATGCCAGCGTTTCATTAAGGGAATCATTTGTCATAGGCAGCCGAGGTGATGTGACGTTAACACGCTATTTTGCACCTGGCGCCTGCAATGGAACGGCAGCTGCTAGTAAAAGACATATTATGAGGTTTATGCTAATGTTATTCCTTGGCTAGTTATTCGATTAGTTGCTTTTAGACAGATATAATTTTCAAAGCCATCTTGACTGGTAAATGAGAGTTAGATGGTCGAGACTATAAGCTTGAAATTCAGCTTTTTGGGACCGCCAATAAGCTACGGAAATTCTCAAAAATCCGTAGTTTCGTCATGAAAAATCCGTTTGATATGGTATAATTATTAAAGACCTAATAGTTTCAAAGCAGAAATCGCAATTGTCATATTGATAGAGGCAAACATTCACATCAAAGGCTTTTTTGAATTTCAATTGTTGGGATGCTAAAAGTCCAAATATTTCCAATTTTAATTCTAGCTTGATTTGATCTGCTCTTTATAACTAATTCAAGATGAATTCTTGTGCTATTCCAATATTACAAATGCTTGTAATTCTCGATTTTTTTCGAATTTCGATTTGTACAAAGTGAAATTTCTTATATAAACCATGAAGTTATAAGAGGAACATAACCCAGTAAAACTTTTTGCAAGCGTTATTTGAAGATTTCCCAAGAATTCTGGTGCAAGATTTATATTCCTGCCTGAAGCTGTAGATTAAATGAATCGTGATTTTTTCATCAAGACTTCCTGATTTTTTCTCAGACTTCCTTAGCTTTTTCTCGGACATGCTGGGGTTAATTCCGTTTCCTTTTTTTCACAGAGAATCTCTTGGCTGTTGGACTGTTATGTCATGTTTCAATGTAATTTAGATGTACGAAGCAATCTTTCGAGCGTTAGTATAGATTATCGAACATACACATTAGTCCCGAAAACATTAGATACTGAGAAAAATCTGTGTTAAATCGTAAAATAGGGTCAGAAATCGGCCTATTCACCATAAAATAAAAATGAGAATGCATTAATCATGAGAGAACAGAAAGCTTTATTAAGCACCTGGGGCGTTTTTGTGTTTCAAATTGTGTCGTGCATGTTGGACGTTGACAAGCGTATGTCAAAAGCAGCCTGGCATGCAAAAACAAACAACTCTCGCCCCCGGCTTCGCGACTACCTTAGCCGGAAGTCCCCGATGTTGTCCACAGCACCCCCTAAATGGGGACTCTGTTCATACTAAATCAGGCGTGCTTGGCTATGAATGGCGGGCTTCTTAAGTTGGCCATTTTTTGCCTTGGCTCGGCTTTTTTGGCAATTTTAGTGACGCTTGGAGATATGGCTTAGCTACTTCTGTATAGCCGTTCTGCCGCATGATGGTTTAGGAGATTCTGTCTCTTGTAGGTTATGCTTTTTATAAGGTCCCTTTATTTTATTCTTCATGAACATTCAAAGCATATGTTTTACTTTGTCCCAGAAGCCTTACCTATTTTCTTCCAGAAACTCAGAACAGAAATCGCTGGATTCTTTGAGATATCTAATCATCGGCTGAAGATTCAAAAATTAGCTGTCTAGTGTTGCTGAATGCAAAAAAATATGGGCAAATACGGCGGTAAAAGCTGTCTTTGCTTAACTTTTGGTCGACAAGAAGTCTGGAATTCTCAACGAAATTTGATTTCACTTGTTTAATTTTGTGACCAACTCTTCCTAGCTGAAGAAGAAAATCCGCTATTGGATTCTCTGTCAAGATTTATGACTTTCAAATTTACTATTCTACTTTCTGATTTGTTCATTCTAGAGCACAAAATTAATTATCAACCGGAGAAAATAAGTTGATACAAAAGCTCTGTCGCAAGATTTTTGAAAAAACATAACTTCTTGCTCTCTCAAAGGATTTTCAAAAAATTTTTGCTAGATAGAGTAAAACTCGTTCCTTGTGGTAGTGCCTTTGCTGCTCTCCTAGTAAGGGGTAGCTCTCAAGATGAAAGCAGAAGAATAGAATTGATTGATCATTTTGAGTTAGGCTGCTAAAAATCTGAAACTAGCTTCTGACTTTGGGTAAGCAATACGAAACAGCGAATTGATTTCTTCGCACTTTTATTCGAAAATCATAACTCTTCAAATGTTCATAAAAACTCTGCCTGTTGGAAACTGCGATTTAAAAATGCGCTCCTTGTTAGTGAGGAGTAAAAGGCACTATCACAAAGAAAAGGGTCAAAAAAAGTTTGTGTCCGTTGAGAGAACAAGAAGCTATTAAAAATGGTGCACAAGAACTTTTGCATCAAAGTAATATGAATCGGTTTATTTCCTCATCTAATTGTGGTTGAATTTTCCATAACAAATTTATAGAACAACACAACTGTCAGTAACATCAAGTTCCATAGAATTCCAAAGAAATTCCTTGACCGGCATAATCATTTTATATATTAGGTTGGTGCAAAAGTTCTTTCCCCCCATTTTCAAAAATTCATAACTTCTGATTTTTTGAACCAATTTGGCTGCATCTATTTCTATATGAAAGCGTAATTCATGCTCTTCATAATGACATCTTAGCTGCTTGCTAATGATCATTTGTTGCATAGATAGGAGCGATAGAAGAAAATTAGCCAAAATTTGAATTTTCTGTGTAGGGTCATAAAAAATCGGAAACTTGCAAGAAAAATCGGAGCGTCAGTATTGTGAGTTCTTTTACCAGCTCTTTCTAATGGTGCAAACTTTGCGTCGATTGAGCGTCTCTATCAAAAGTTACAATTTCCCTGAAAAATGCCAAAATAAATCAAAATCGCCCTTTTGTATTGCTTGCTCGAAATTCATAACTTTTGATAGAGACGCTCAATCAGCGCAAACTTTGCACCGTTAGAAAGAGCTGGTGAAAGAACCTACAATACCGATTGCTCCGATTTTTTTGCAAGTCTCCGATTTTTTATGACTATACGAAAAATTCAAATTTTGAGTGATTTTGGTTTTGAGCTTCTATCTCCTTCATTTGTAAACATTAAGGAACACATCAGGTACAGATGCAAAGAGCATGAGTTTCTCTCTTAAGCAAAATTTAGATCTTGCAGATTCGTTGAGAATTCAGCAAGTTATGAATTTTTGAATTTGGGCGGAAAGAACTTTTGCACCAACCTAATACTTTATTTCTTTATGATAAGAGAAAAAACGATTTTGCTAGTATGTCAAATCCCTACTTTTTCATCAGTTTATACTTTTCAGACCATTCCGAAAGAGCAGTAACTTCATTCCAAAACTATTCCGCAAACATCTTTTGGCCCACATGTTCCGGACAATTTTTATGGGATGACTCAGTTTCGTACAAATCGGCGGAAGCCTAAAATTTGCACATTATCTATTCATATCCATCGTAAACTTCAAATGAGACGAAATTTGGAAAATATTGTTCGTGGTAGTGCACTCGCTTTCAGCATCATAGCTTGCAGCGTTGTTGAGTTTATTCTTGGAATGTTTCTGTGAAGGCTTTTTATCACAATTTCCAGCTATTCGCTTACAAAAGATTATTTGTCCAGTGCTGTCGACTAATGCCTAGCGACAAATTGTAAGAAATGTGGAAATGGCTTTATGTGACCCATTCTCATCCACCAAGTTTGCTCTGTCGGCTCAGCATTGATAACATATCTAAAAACTCTGTAGAGTTGTAAAATATCACAGAGAGAGAAAGAGAGAAGGACGAGAGATCACAATCATTATTCAAAATCACTTGCTTTCTATTGCAGGTTAGAAAATTACTCTCAAATTGTGTTCACGATCAACATCGTTAGGTAACACCAAACATGTATTTGGAAAGATCTAGCCAAAAATCACTTGAATATCCATACGTACTGATTGTGTTCGCCATTTTATGGCTTCGAATTGCAGTAGCTTTGCTGTACTTCGCTCACTCTTTGTAATTATGTAGTACAACACCTCCTCCCTGATCAGACAACTTCGGTCAGCTTTTTAAAGTGCCACTTTTTTTGAAATTGACGAACCATCTAGCAATAAATCTTGACTTGCGTTGATGTCCTTAGGGTTTGGTTCTTAATAAACGCGTCTGTTTTTTTTTTGATAACTACTTTGAAAAGATATCTTAGCTGCTCTTTATGATTATATACTGATATCGTTGCATGATTAAAAATCATCCATTCTTTTTATAAGTTTTCGTATACTCGTTTCTTGATACATATGTTTAATGTATTGTTTTGTTCTACCTAGCTTTTACTCGTCGCGTTCTTATGATAAACGAAATTGTACTTTTTACTCCCCTCTCCACTTGTGCTTATCGTATGATTGTTGCAGTAGATGGCTCAGAACATCCCCAGAGCATTCAATGATGCATGGGAGACGGGAAAGGCTCAGATGAACAACTACAAGCAGCCCCTATCAAGGCAAGCAAATTTCATTGTAATCTCCACCCATTTTCATGATACACAGATTTACAAAAATATCTATCTGACAGTGGTCGAAATAGCAACTTTGCGAGCAGTGAAGGATAATTTTATGGACGGACCATCACACGCAGAGACAGCATCTCACTGCGGAAACTGTTTGTGTCTCTCTTATTAGGCGCTCTATCGTCCCTCTTACTGTCTAATGTCTCTTACTTGCACATGTATTCTTAGTCAGACGGCTTCCGCTCTCCGCGTGCGATGGTTCGCTTATACAGCAGTGGAGAGATTCTTGTTGTTGCGTAGACTCGCATGAATTATGGACGTCTCTTCGAGTTAAGAAAAGCAATTTGCATCGTTAGTTGTTTGGATACCTTTTTTGAGCAAAAAGACTAGAAAAAAAAGAGCAAAAAGACTAGACTAGGTGTATTAGCGAAAAAGAATAAATAGAGCCAGAAGTTGACAATAGTCCAATTGCTTTCCTCAACATTTTTGCGTTGATTGGTCCATAATACTTGCACTAATACTTTCAGAAAAATTTTTATTTTATCAAGGGAATTTCTTTGATTTGAACTTGGGAAAAGTTAGTTATGCACTTTTTAGTATTGCTAGATCACCACCAATTACTTATTGTTGGATCAAGCATCAAATCTGGCAGAACGCTCAAAATTCATCAAAAAAGACTCCGCTGGTTCGGTGTCTTTTTTGATAAATTATGAGCTGTAATAAATATATCATTAATTTCATTCTATCTTGAACTTTGAAGCCCTATAACAGTTCGAGTAACAGCTATAGACTTTGTGAGTTTATTAATTTCATCGGCAATTATGCCCTTAAATAGCCAATTTTTTGAAAAAAAAACCACTATTTGGATATTTAAGTTCCCATTCAAAGCTGTAGTAAGTGCACACTGGTAAGTTGGTGTTTGTATATACAAAAGTTATTTACACACAGGAGCCAATTTTTGAGCAGTCCATTTCACTTAAAGGCAACATCCAGGCAGATCCGAGCTCGACGACCACGCCCACTTCCCTCGGACGGCCAACCCCTTATAGGCAGTGTCCAAGCAAAAAGTCGATTTTGAGATTTTGTGCTTACCCGGGGTTATTCGCCATGCTGAATCCGATCAACCACAATGGATAGCGCGAAAACGCCATATAAGGCCTTAACGCAGGAGGGAAATCGCAGGTGGGCGGGGCCGTTCACACCGTGACGTCACTCTCCCAGGCTTTGGGAGCGATCTTCTCGGTTCCGATTTTATGTCATGCGTTTCGCAGTTGGCTGGTGGTGATGTTAGGACGCTTAGCGGAATCGAGAAGATCGCTCCTGAAGCTGGGAGAGTGATGCCACTATGTGAACAGCCCCGCCCACCTGCAATTTCCCTCCTCCGGTAGAGCCTTTTTCCGCCGTTTTCGCGCTCCCCAGTGTTGATTTTCGGATTCAGCATAGCGAAGAGGCCCAGGTAAGCACAAAATCTCGAAATCGACTTTCTGCTTGGACACTGCCTTCTGAACGAAATCTCCTCAGCCTTGACGTGTTTAGACATGACCAACACAGTTGAACTTACAGCGTTTACCTGTTAATACTTGCTTTCGACAAGGATAACATCAGCAGCACTCGTCCGTGTTTTCCCAAAAGAGCCCCAAAAGGTGGTTTTCTTAGAAATTCACGCTTTTTGGGCCATATTCGGAATCAGCGCCATGGAAAGGCCTGGACAACATAAAAATATAGAAGTCGAGATCTGCCTGGACGCTGCCTTTAAAGGCACCGTCCACCCTAAGTTGAGGGTGTTGAGCTTTTGGCAGCATATAATAGTAGGGCCTCCTATCAAGCCAATGCCCAAATCGCGGCGCAATATGTCGCTTTGGAAGCGAGAAAATCGCTCCGGAATAGCGAAGATGCACGAGGACCCCCATCCACGCCCGCCCCTCCCCATCCATGCCCGCCCATTTGTGCGCGCTCATCCAATCACCGTTCTGGAAAGCCGGCCTGTGGGTTCTCCGGAATGGGGATTGCCGGGGTTTTCGCGGATTCTCGACTTCATATTTGGAATTAGGGACTTGAGAAGGCCCTGAAACGACAAAAACCTGGAAGTCGAGAATCTGGGTGGACGGTGCCTTTAAAGTCGTTTAACGGCCACAAACGGTTAAATACGATAGTTATGTGGATACCAAATGTGTGATTTACACCCAACTGCGTTCGTTTTTCCTTTCAGAGCGTGCTTTTTGAAATTTGGTGGAAAAGTTCTGATTTTAATGTATTTCCTGCAGTATTCTAATGAAAATAATTTTTGAAGAAGCAGAAACAATTATTCATATCTATTTGATTTGCCCTTTCCAATGACACCCTAAGTAACTTCTTCAAAAAACCTTGTAAACGCTAAAATTATTTTTCTAACCCAATAATATTTGCTTACTTTCATCCTCAAGGTTGAGCCAAAATTCAAATACATAAGAACATTAATGTAACCAGGAAGCTAGCCTAACCGTCAACTTTTTCTGCACTGCAGGCCTTGATACTTATCTTGACATAATGCTGATGTGTGCAGTCATTCATTGTAGAGCGAGCGCATATTTCATGATTTGTGCCTGTTTTAGCCTAACGCTATTTAGCCCAGTTCTATCCATCAAATGCCGTTTGAGAAAGTCCCTTCTTGTCATTTTTCCCGGTTGTTTATTCGCTTGTCATGCCTTATTTATGAGCCGAAGAAAGGAGTGAATGTGCCTATTTATAGTCTTGAGAAGTTGCTTTGGGACGGGTAGAAACGAACCATTTGCTCAGCAGTACAATGGCTCCTGGAGCAATGACTGCTTGATAATTGAGCGACAACACTGAAGAGTCTGCAAGCTAGATAAATGACTAATAGTACAAATAGTTGTTAACGGGAGAACTTTAGCGCTTACAACTTTTCGAAAACTAAACTTTATCAGGTTGATCCATTAGTCTTGCACCGAAAATGTTGGAAATTTGAGATTCTTTGATTCCAACAAATCCATTTGATTGCACATTCTGGAAGAGCCCTAAGAAAAAGCCAAGGGTAGGGTGGCGTATCGCGGAAATTCAAGCTGAAAAAAAGAAATTTTTTCGTATTCTTTGCAATTTTTGATCCATGTAAGTGCTAAAAAGCCCAATAAAGTCGACTTACAATTCTCACTATGGTTTTACAACGTACTCTTTCCAACTGAGACGTTTTGATCTTATACATCGACAAAACAACATCCGCGTTTCTTGGTCGACTTCTCGACATTTCGATAATAATTTTCTATTATTCTGACATGTTTGGTTGCCAAAAAGCGCTGAAACCCAGTGGACTGACCCGTATCGATTTTGTTCCTTCATCGCACCAGCACGGCGCTGGTATGGCGCTGGCACGACGCTAGCGTGGGTAACCCTTTGACGCAGCCTCACATTAGGCCATGTAGTACTACGATGCAAAATAGCGTAAATTGTTCATAGTTATCCTTCGCACTGGCTGCGTTCTGTTAGATTTTTTGTGTAATTTAGCACCTCTTACACTAGTACATAGCACAGAAGTGTTTAATAAATCGATGAGCTGCACAGTTAAAAAACTTATAGTGAGTCACCACTGTAAGAAGTGATTTAACAATATGTAACCTTTGATTCAACTGGCTTGACTGCTGGAAGGCGGGGCTTTGTGACCTAATCAAGGCCGCTAGCGCCCGCGACGCACCTGCGTGTCTCTCGCGCGAATGCTCTCTGATCATTACCTAGCCTTAATTAGGTCACGAAGCCCCGCCTTCCCGAAGCCAAGCTAGTGAATCAAATAGTAGATAGTCTTCACATTCGAGCCAGACAAGACCAGTAAATATTAGGTTGTTGCAAAAATAATGTCCGTTTTGCAAAATTTCACTTTGAAAAGCTATAATTTCGTTCAGTCTTTATATTTTTGAATGCAATCAAGACCGTCAGATGCAGTAAACTTTTCGTAATCTAAAGCGCACCTCCATATACTGATATCGCAAACGGGAAGAAAACCAAGCTTCAAAAATCCAAAAGTTTTGCTTTTGAAAACCTCGTCTTTGAAAGATTACAAATTCCTTCAAGTTTTGTTATTATGGTTGCTAATCAGCTTATTTTGTAGACGCAACCCAGTAGTATACGTTTGTATAAAAAGAACTTTAGCGAAGAAGTTCTGCGCATCAAAAAAGATAGAAATCCAAAATTGTTCACTTTTTCAAGCCTTTTGTGATAGGCTTGGAAGTCCCAAACTTTGAAAATTTAGATTTCTTCATGCACTGAATAGCTAAGTTTTTCTGCATAAATTGTAGATAAGATGTCCTTACCTTAAGCCTACAGAAATGAGCGAAGTTTCAGTGATTGCCCTAATCAGGAAAAATTTCGAACCCATAGAGTTCCAGGCAGCGAGTATCGTTTTTGGAGCTCGATTTGTCAGTTCAGGTATATTCGAAAAACTTATTTAAACATGCAATAAGTAAACAATATTTATCCTATACAGTAGCTATGTTTTCAGAAGAATTCGTTTATTTGCGCCTGAATTGTGGTCAAGAAAGTTGGAGCAATGAAATTTCGATTTTGAGTGCGGCTGTTCAAAATGCTGGTGAAAATCTTACAGATGAGATAAAGGCTTAATTTCACCACCGTTAAAAAGTACATGAAGAAAGCTTTTCAATGATGTGCAAAATCTATATCGAAAATGAAAGCCTGAAGGAGAAAAGTCGTTTAAGTTATACACTCAGAAAAACGGACATTATTTTTGCAACAACCTAATATTTAACAAACCTCACATAACGCTGGTACAGTTAATCAACAACAGAACAGTTCAGGGTAAAGAAAAATTTTCACAAGATTATTTACAAATGGGAAGTAAACATGGGCACTATTCCAGGTTTCTGAACAAAGGAGATAAGGGAACACAGCTACGCGATGATGAGGATGGCTATCCATCTGCGTGAGTTCCGTAGCACCGTTTGGAACTAGGTCTACAGCCCGTGTCAATCACGTGCTTACCTCTTCCGTAATAGCAATCACGCCAGAGCTGCGCACCACGTCCGCGCGTGGCTTGGACAAAATCTTGGCCTCATTGACTGCAAGTCCGCACGCAAGGCCCTCGCGTTGCGCATGCGTACTCAGATAACCGCCGGGGGCAGGCGGCCATGCGAATTTTGAGCAAGCGCGCACCGGAAAAATAGTTCGTTGATTTTTTGCGGCCCGCTTGCAGAAATTTGGAAGAAAGTTGGCGAAATTAAAGACGAATGCTTGAAGAACAGTCGCGGTTTCTTTATGGATTAGCTGCGGCGCAGTGGCCGCATTCTCGCGGACTTTCCGCGAGAATATGCAAAAATTTCGAGGGCCGCACGGTCCTTTGTGGAGGACCGCGCAACCCCCAGGTACTTTCCGCTGAGAGAAAGTACCTCAAACTTGAGTAATTAAACCAACGGTGACACCTCTGCCACACAGAGTCTTACCTGCGCTCGACGTACGCCCGAAAATACCTAAAAAGAGTCCGAGCGCTTGCTGAAAGTTTGGCCAGCGCTCGCTGAAAGATATTATTTGACGAGCGCTCGCAGAAAATTCTGTATTGCTGCCCGCTGGCGGAACGCGGAAGTACCGCCCGCTGAAGGTTTGGCCACGCCCCAAAATTCTGCTGACCGCCTGCAGAAAAGCGCGAGTTTGCGGACCGCCTGCCCCCGGCGATTATCTGAGTAATTTGTACGCGAAAGAGAGTGCGTGATTGGCATGGGCTGTATGTGTAGTGGGTTACGATATAGACTAAAGCTGCATGAGCCTATAATCACAAAATTTGCTTACTATCAGTTTATTCGAGCTTTACAATATTATCTCTGCAATTTGGGTTGTAAAAAAGATTATGTTATTAGACAAATACAACCTATTTAGTTTTCTTACAGAACATCTCTGTGTTACAGTGTGCAAAACCCAGCGGCTCAAGATGGTGCGACAAATCTGTATTCTTACGACCAGACTGTTGATGGTATGCAGGTTCACTCCAATAAGATTCTGCAGGTGAGTCGGCAATTCATTTTTTTCCTAGTGCGAACCAAAACAAATGGGATCTTATCAAAATCTTATTCCTGCTTACTACTACAAAACTTTCATGCTTACAAAGTTTTTTCCGTATACTTTGAGGAATTACGAGCGCTGATGATGTTGTGTGTTTCATTTTTCTTTCATTTATTTAATCCAGACCTGAAAGCAAATGTAGCGAGAAATTTGAACAAAAATCAAATATTTCTTTTGTCCAACAATTGCATATTCGGGACACAGAGCAATGAAAAGTTTAAAGTGTTCTTTTTCCAAGCAGTGTAAATCAAACTTGAGGTGAGCCATTGTTCTAGAGTGATTTACAAAATAAAAAGCGTTTTGCTACAAAATAAATTCATTTGACCGACCGAACGCGTAAGTAACCTCTACTTTGGACAACACTACTTCAGCTTTATTTATTGTAACAACAAGCAACTCCCGAAAAATTTTGCAAACTGCCACCTACAGTATGCCGAATCAAAACATCGCCTTCAGAAGTTGGTATCATAAGTAGAGCTCTACAATACCATTTCTCTGAGTAATCTTCAACTTAGCGAGTTTAAGATTTCATTATACGGTGCATCCAATTATCGCTGTGAACAGAGCTTCTCTCGTCTGAATCTCTCTAATTACCAATTTGACCATATTTGCAGATGACAGAGAATCTGCAATGTTGTAACTGTCGGAAGAGGTGGCAACTAGCTATTTTGGCAAATCTTGGCTTTATGATCGTTTTCGGTATTCGCTGCAATTTCGGTGCAGCCAAAAATCACATGTTCATGGATTACACAGACCCATGGGGCCAAAAACACGTAGGTTTTTGTCATTTTTTACTTTCTATGAATTTATTTTATGTTCCCTTGCAGAAACATGATTTTAACTGGACATTAGCGGAATTGAGTGTTATGGAAAGCTCTTTCTTCTATGGTTATCTTGTCACGCAAATTCCAGCCGGATTTCTAGCTGCCAAATATCCACCAAACAAGTAAGTACCTCGCAAAAGGAGTGTTTCTAGAGTCTGTAATCTTTATAATCGATGTTATTTAGACTTTTTGGAATTGCCATAGGCATGGCCTCCTTTCTAAACACTCTTCTTCCATACGCCTTCAACTCCAAAAGTGACTTCCTTGTGGCCGTCATTCAAATTATGCAGGGTCTTGTGCAGGTTGGTTGCCATTATAATTGTTGTCAAGGGGGAATGTACAGTCTTTTGTATGTCCTTTACAACATTAAGCAGCTTCAAAAACTGTCAAGATGGCCGAAAAATAATTTCGGCTTTTTGGCTGAAGATCTGAAGAAAAGTTATCAACAAATCTCCGTACAACTATATAGTAGTCATTGTCAAAAATTGGTTTGAGAGTAGAATCAAAATCCTGGCCTTTTTGGGCGAGATATTTTCGGTGACTAATCGGTCAGGGAAGATTAACGCTCAGATTTCCTGACTCAATGACAAACCATTTTCGAAAAGCAAACTATTGGATACGAAATGTAAAATTGCTGCGCACACTCATCACTAGTTATTTCCAATAATTAGCATATTAGTGAATGATCAAAATCAAGTAATTTGGACCGACCAAAAATTAAATTGTTCGCACAGAAACGTCGATTCACACTTGTTTGGTCACAAACAGCCGATCACAAGTTTCACTTTTGGTCATTATATCCATATAGTCCAAGCTTGTATGCATTCAGTCCTCAATAAACTCGTCTTCACTCACTACATTATGAAAGCGAAACAAAGTGAAGAAGCGACATTTTGACGAGCGTAATAACGTGATTGTCTTTCGTTACTGATAGAAAATTCAGAATAATATACGTCATTTATAAAATCGTGACGACGGATTTGACTGCCTTTGCGCGCACGGGAGTATAAAGCACTCATACAAAATGGTATCACCTCAACGCTCAGCTCAATCACTTCCGTTGTCTAGATACTATAATATCTGAGCAGAAAAACCATTGAAGTAGCGACAGAATTCAAGAAACCGTTGTTTCCGGAAGGTGCGTGCGTGTCGGCGTCGTCACGATTTTTCGAATGCCCTACACATGTGATAGTAAACGTGTAAAACTGTCTCTCCACAAATTAAATCACCTAAATAACAATTCTTTGATTGTTGTAGAGCTTCGGATTTGCATCTTGAAACGAAATTGTTTTAGCTAAGCAATAATAAGGAAGAACTTGATAACTTTTGATTCAACTGGCTTGGCGGCTGAAAGACGGGGCTTCGTGAGCTAATTAAGGCCGCTCGCACCTGCGATGCAGTCTGCGTCTCTGTCGCGCGCGTGCTCTCTGGTCGTTTTCCAGCCTTAATCAGGTCACGAAGCCCCGCCTTCGGGCCGCCAAGCCAGTTAAATTAAAGGGTACAATCAGTTGCAACTGTATCAGCCTATTTTTTGATATACTAATGTCATCCTGAACCAATGAGCACTTGAATGTGAACTTCAGGGAGTCGCTTTTCCGTCGATGCACGGTGTTTGGCGATTCTGGGCCCCGCCATTGGAGCGGTCCAAATTGGCTACAACGTCTTTCACCGGCTCCTATGCTGGAGCGGTGCTGGGCCTTCCAGTGTCCGCTTGGCTCGTTTCGTACATTAGCTGGAGCGCTCCGTTTTACCTCTATGGTAAGTTACAAGATCTCAATACAGATAGCACAGAAATCTTCGTAGACACTCTGATGCATCCTTGCAGGTGTTGTTGGCTGCGTTTGGGCAGTTTTTTGGTTCTCTCTGACCTTTGAAAAGCCTGCATTCCATCCGACAATTTCACTTGAAGAAAAGAAATACATTGAAGAAGCTATAGGAAACGTGTCTAGTAGTCATCCCACTGTAGGTTTACTCCAAACACGTAGAATTCTCCTTTGTAACGAAGGTGATGTTCAGTTCCGCACAGTCCCGTGGAAGGCAATCATAACTTCAAAACCCGTGTGGGCGATTATAGTAGCGAATTTTGCCCGAAGTTGGACGTTCTACTTACTTCTACAAAACCAGCTCACTTATATGAAGGAGAAGCTCGACATGAACATTAATAATGTGAGTAGAAACTGGATAACATCTTTCTGGAACAATCAAAATTCTTACAGTCTGGGATGCTCGCAGCTCTCCCACATGCTGTCATGGGTGTGGTTGTATTACTAGGAGGACAATTAGCCGATTACCTACGATCCCATAAGATCTTATCGACTACGGCTGTGAGAAAACTCTTCAACTGCGGAGGTAAATTACAGTGTTGTACGCAACTTGGATTTTGTCATTCCAAGAAAAATTTCTTCTCCTATATGTTCTCTTATACAAAAGAAAGATAAGCATTGTATCATATTCGCAAAATTTGAGCTAATACTTACTTGGAAACAGTGGATCTGAATCCATATTAACACATTGACGACTGCTTGACACACTTGCTGTGTCAAGCAATGACTACCGCGTGGGACCGCTTGACACACCATGTGTGTCAAGGCTCAAATTTTGGTTTAATGTTTACTGTTTTGAAATAAAGTCACTCCATGAGCTTTCTTTTGCGCAGAATCTAAGGATGACCTCTACCTTTCTTGTCAGCCTTTCAGGTGTACTGTAGGTGTACTGTAGATGGCAGTATGCGTAATTATAATTGAAAAAGTGGGCTGTCCGTAAAAAGGTCTTGGTCCCAAAAGGCAGACAACTGAAAATCTGCATGGTCGTCAATGTGTTAAAAAACAATTACCGTTTATCTGTTTTTTTTACATTTGTGCTTTTTTGGCAAGCGACCTCGTGTAATATACCCCGACCTCGTGCCTTGTATAATCTTTTGCTTTTCGCCCAAAATAAGAGGTCTCAACTCTTAAGCAATCGTATGTGATCTGTAAGTTCCGCGTGATTTTTGTTGATAGACCGTTAGCTTCTTTTAATTGATTTCTTGAAAAAAATGGCTTTTGATGGTCAAATACAGAGTGTCCCAAAAAATGTGCCTACTATTTGATTGTTAATGACTCTCTTGTTATGAAGTCTTTCAAAAAGCTTTAGGTACCCTTTTGTAGAGCTGACTCCTTAGATCTATAGTCTGAACCGAATCATCGATCGCTCTTCATTATTGTAGGATTACGGTAGGAACTCTCCGCTTAAGACGTTGCTGTGAAAAAGCAGTCTTTTCAAATACTTTTAAAAATGGTCTAAAAACTTCTGTGATGGGGTTTTCATGGATGCTGAGTTTGATAATCAACTTTTTACAAGATTGTAAAGCTTTCTAAACGGTTTAAACACATTTTTCAGAAAACAACGATTAGACGGCAGCTACTGCTCATCTGGCATAACTTTTGTAGGAAGCATTATGATGAGATGCGAACTTTATATTTACAGGATGCGGCAAAAGCCTGGGAGAGAGTACTTTTTCGTACAAAACGAGAAGGGAAATACCTAAAAACGAAAAATTTGGCGCACACATAATTCGAACCATGCAGATACAGCCCAGTTCTTGAATTGCAAAACTTCCTTTTTTGGCTTCCACGCAGCCCTACAAAATCTTGGCAAGTCCACTTGTCATGGCATGCAGGTAGTCGTAATGAAATTCGCCCCACGCCTTCATAATAATTGCTTCTTTTACCTCGGCAAATGTGCAGCATGATAGAGCAAGCTTTAGTCTACAACATAATTCCAACAGCATTTTTTGCATTGCTTAGGAATAAAAATATTGGATTTTTAGTTAGAAGCATGTGTAAGTCGCATACCGGAATTTTGGCTACAATTGCGCGAATAAAAACTTAAAAATAACGTTTGAAAAGTATAAAAAGTGTTCCCATGGCCGAATTTCAATAGATTCTAATTTAGAACACGTATGCAAAAGATACAGTCTTGGTCCCAGTGCCTGTTGAGCATTCTATAGCTTTTAAATCTGTTCTGAAGACGGATTTCCACTGGCACGTAGATAACATTCGCAAACTTTTATTTTCCGTTCATGCAAGAACAGCTCCTGGCAGGCAAAAACTGCGATCCAATAGCGTAAAGCCTCTTCTACGTTGTGTGCATCGAAGTTTTGTAAAATATTAACAGCATTTCTAGCTACAGCAAAAATTGTAAATACCAAAAATTCTGGTTTTTTCGCTTTGCAAAAGGACCAGTTTGGTAAATTCCATTCTTACAAAAACATATGGCAGCCATTTCCAGCCAAATTAAGTGTATTCTGTAGAGGATGACAGCAGCATCATGTGGCATAAAATTGAAATCAAAACCATCAGTATCTTTGTAATTGCAGTACTGCAAAGTTAGGCTCCCAGACTTTTGCCGCACCCTGTAGCCTAGTGTGAGAGTTTTTGGTTGTTTTGTTTCTTTTCTGAGCCCAGATATGAATATGGCCCTCCTTGGCTCAAAACCCTTCTCGAAGTTCCTACCGTAATCCTACGTTAATGAAAGACGATCAGTAATTCGGTCCATACTATGAATCTAAGTTGAAGCCAGCTCTACAAAATGGTACCTAAAACGTTTCGAAAAACTTCATGACAAGAAAGTCATTAACAATCAAACAGTAGGCACATTTTTTGGGACACCCTTATAATGTGAAAAGTGAAATAGCTATTGTCAAATTGTCCTATAAATCCGTACTGAAATGAGTTGATTGGAATGATTTGGAAGTATTAAACATTTCCTTACCTATGTATGTTCTAATACATATGCTACATATTTTATTTTATCACATATATATTATAGACATTGTTTTTGGGGTAACTGAATGAAATTGAAATTTTCAACATCCGTAAACCTAATATCAAGATCTCTCCATTATAAACAAAAGTCATAAAATCAAGACCAGAAATCAAACAAAATTTTTGAGTCTTTACAGTATTTTGTCCCCTTCCAGATTATCGCAGCTTTAATGCTTGCTCTGTCAATTTCTATCTTCAAGACATGCTAAGAATGATTTTTCCACTTCTTTATAGATGATAATCGAAAAAAGCTGGAGTTAAGGATTTTAGAAAATCGTGATATAAAGTACCTAGTAACATGCATACTTAAGTACGTCCGAAGAACATTTGTAGAAAAATAATTCCCTTTATTGAAGGGGTAACAAGAACTACCTCGTTATTGTATTCCCTTCAGTATCAAGGTAGTTCAATAATAACTACCTTGTTATTGAAGGGAAAACAAAATATTCATTTACCTTTATGGCAATCTGATAGCATAAAATTCTTTTTCTAATCAATAATTGCGACTTTTTAGGCTTCGGTGGTGAAGCACTCTTTATGCTGGTTGTCGCTTACACGAACAAAGAGTCCACTGCTGTACTGGCTCTCGTACTGGCCGTCGGATCTTCTGGTTTTGCCATTTCTGGTCAGTTAAAAAAAATTCAGTGGACCTTGGTATAGTGTGGACCCGGGCCAGCTTCCCATAGGTACCTGTGCGACGCACCCGCAACGCACGCCTTCAGCGCTTCTCCTGTCCTAGCTTCTGATGGAAATCCTCCTTCCTCTCCTTTTTTTGTTTTTGGTGTACTATATTCTCTCTATTTTAGGTATTAACAATTCGCGATCACCGGTGACGAGATTTCACGTGCTCTAATAGACCTAAGAGCTTCAGTCTGTAGTAATAGTCTTGTGTTTTCCCTTTTTTCTATGAAAAATTCAGATTTGATTGGACATTAAGATGATATTCTTTCAAAAGCTTCTTGTATAAAATAAGAGTCCCTTTCGGTTTGATGTGTAAGGTGTAGACAGTGTTTCAAGTCAAAATTGAGCCTTCCGAGAAGCAATAGGCATTTGTTTACTAAAATGTCCACTTTTTTGAAATCGTTGACCACTCTAGTTTCTAAGTCTACGAAGAGAAATGTTTTGAGAATGCTGTTGTTCTTTAATTTCTTTACGTATACTTATTACAACCTATCCATCAGTACATGTTCGGAATATGCATCCATTGATTGAATTTGAGGTACTCATGAAGGTTGCCTGCGTTTCTTTCTTGCATACGTCTCTTTCGAAGTGAATCTAGAGGTTTCCACTTAACATTTTTCTTCTTTGTGAGCATAAATATGCTCTACTGCTCATGAGTGAGGCGAGAGGCATTGAGAAGGGCGCGCGCTGCGGAAGTACCTATGGGAACCTGGCCGGGGTCCACACTATATTTTTGATTTTGGTCACAGCTTACAATCTTATTTAGGATTCAACGTAAACCACCTGGATATTGCACCTCGCTACGCAGCCATTTTGATGGGTTTCTCCAATGGCATCGGAACTTTGGCTGGCCTGACTTGTCCCATCGTCACGGAAAAATTTATCGCACATGGGGCACATGGATGGGAAAAGGTCATTATAGTTTCCGTATAAAGAAAACTCTATTAAGAGCAGCCAGGAAGTTTTGCAACATCATCCTTTGATGTATTACTTAGAAATCTACTTTTATGGATATGAATACTGCAAAAAATTTTCAATTTGCTTTCAAAGTAAGTAGGAGAAGCTTTTGCTCCTTCAAAGGGATCAAGCAGCAAAAGAAAGTTGAGTGTGAATGACTAAAGCTCTTCTTGTTATATGCACTTTATAGCTCAGAAAAGTTACAAACAAAAAGTCTCCGTTACCGCTTGATGGATTAAAAATGTGAAATGTATACAAAAGTAATTCCGTTCCTATCTCATAAACTCAATAAGTTGCCTTTTTCAGGTGTTTCTTCTTGCAAGTCTTATTCACTTCACTGGAGTCACCTTCTATGCGGTTTACGCTTCCGGAGAGCTTCAGGTATAATTCCAGAGTACACGCCCAATTCCCCCCCCCCTCTTAAAATAAAGCCGTCATCATTTTGCCAATCACTGTAATTGCCTTCATTGAACGCCGAGTTAGAATGCACATGACAGTAATAACCATTATGCAGAAAAAAAAAAGTAGAAAAAGAAAGCTAGCGATATATAAACCTGGAAAAAAAGGGATAACCTTGAAATTATCGTTGTTGTGCCAGTATAAATCTGCTATAGTGCAATTGCACAAAGCGATTGGATGAGGACGACTATGACTGGTGGAGTCATAAACTTAGTGAATTTGCACGTCGCGCACACATCCTGCGTCTCCTAATAAAACCGCCAATGGAATAATGTATTGAGGAATGATTATTTGTACTTTGAAACACCCACTTTTGCTTGAAGGAGGAAATATAAGCAGTAACTAAAAACTGGAACTTCTAAGCGAAGCACGTGGTTTGTCGCGCGTAGTATGCAGTGCACACATAGATTTACAAATTATTCGACTGTACGCAATTTATTATTAAGGACTGGGCTGAACCAAAACCTGAAGAGGAAGCATGGAATGTCACTAGTCTCAATCAGAGGGCTAGTAATGGTTGGTCTATTCCTAACAGTAGCTTGATTTTTTAAACTCTTGAACCCCTTTTCAGCTGGTTATGGTGCAGCCAAAAACGATATGCCAATTACTCTGACGCCCTTACCGAATCCTGACCAACTTGGCAAAGGTAAACTTATATTCATTACAAGGTAGTACGCCTGCGGGTTAATGCAGTGTTTGTTGCGGTAGCAACAACATTATCTCGCATGGAAACGCCTTGCTTGTAATTGCCGGCATCGCTTGCAGCTTGCGCATAAAAAGAGCGGGCAATGCATTGTTTATTCTTTACGCGCAAATGTTGTTGTCAATCGGAAACACTAAACCAGACGAAATCAGGATGTACGTGAATATGGGCCAATAACTGTTTACAATTTGGAGCAGTAATTGTATTTACAGAACAAGCACCGTCAATAGCTGGTGTGGCTCCAGCGCCTTCATCAACAAATCCTTTCGCTGCTGCTTGGGAGGAACCACCTGCAGGGTCAAAGCCTCCCTATCAAAACTGGTGATAGCGATGAGTTGGCGCGGATTCAAAACCAAATCCATTCCTCAGTGATGCTGCTTGTGATTTACTATTCTGATTCAGCAATGATTATTGAAATCAATTTATGCATACGCATAGGAAGAAGGAGATCTCTAAGTTGTTGTAGAAATTAGGATACAGACGTCTCTCATAGTAATTTATGATAGATATGTGAAGATTGATAAATTATATTCATTCTCAATATGTTTGGATGACTTTTAGCGGAATACAGACAATTCACCGGAACTTCCGCAGGACAAGCAAAATTTGCAGCGGTACCGCAGGGTTTCGTTTACTAAAGAAAATGTGAAAACGCTGAAAATTGGAAATTCTGCTGGATTTTCCGTCAGACTGGTTGAAAAAGGAAATACTCAAGACTTCACAGCGCTGCGAAACTTCCAAAAAATGCCAGCGGTTTCGCAGCACTTTGACGTGCCAGTACTTCCGCAGGTTTTGAATGCGTTGTCTATTACGATGTTGCCTCGCCAACAACTAGAGCGCATTGTTGATCATGTCATCCGTAGTGAGAGGATAGCAAATCTCGCAGTCAATAGAGCAAGGTTCGAATCTCGCCTAGGTGTTCTCTTTTGCTGTTGTGGTTAGCATTCTTCGGAACATCCGCAGTACCTCATTTGGGAATTTCCACAGACATCAATGGAGCTTCCGCAGGTGATCAGGCAGAACTTTCCCAAGCGTTCTGCGGAAGTTCCGGTCAGGTGTTCGATTATATGGGATTCGTCCTCCTCACAACCAGAGAGCGGTATGAGCATTGCAGACGTTTGATGACGTTGATAAATCATTAAATTTGTTCTTAAGCTATATGGACACAAAGTCCGTCTTTATGACTGCATACTAGTCAACGAAAAGGAGTTATAGGGGCTGGAGAAGTTCCGTTTTAGATGTGCAGGACAAGCCAAAGTGACCTTTAAACACACGGATTCGTCAAACACACAAGCAAATTTTTTTTCTTGAGTGCAGTAACTGTAGACCAAATTCAGGTTCTAATTCTAGCTCGAGGTCATACCTGTTTACTATAGTTAGCACCTAATATTCGTGTTCGAATAATTTATTCGAAATATTCGACTATTCGAATATTCGAATAGTCGAATATTTGAGAAAGTCCATTTATTCGATTATTCGAATAGTCGAATAAATGAGAAAGGCCTATATTCGAAATTCGTTCATTCGACGATTTCGAAAAATGACTTATTCGAATATTCGTTCATTCGACGAGTTTTAGATAAAGATTATTCAAATATTCATTCATTCGAGTAGTTATGAAAGTTAGTTATTCGAATATTCGAATATTCGAATATTGCATTCAAATATTCGAATAATATTCGAACATTTATTCGAAATTAGTCGAATATTCGATCAAGTTCGGTTATTCAAGTATTCGTTCATTCGAATTTTGGAATGTGCGAATATTCGAATATTCAAATTCGAATAAAATAAAAATCGAAAGTCGATAATATTCGTTCATTCGAAAAATTTTCCAAAATCAAATATTCAATATTCATTCGTTCGAAAAAATTTTAAAAATCAATTATTCGATATTCGTTCATTCGGCGAAAATTTTTGTTCGTTACAACTATACTGTTTACTAGGTTAACACCCACGAGGAAACAAATCTTTTCGACGGTTTACTGTGTTGGATGTAAGATCAAGGAGCAGTACCGCCTCTAATCATAATTAGCGAATTCCATTAGATTTTCATTGTTTGCGTCCACAGTTATAGTTTTTTTAGCGGCTGATCTTGGGTTCAAAGAAACACTTTTTTACTAAACTCGTCAAGATGATATTTTGGAAGTCGTGCCACCGTAATCTTCGAACTTATAGATTCCTTTATGGAATAGAGGAGATGTAGCTTCGCAAGAATTCCATAAAATTGCAGCAAAACTGCTTTGCAGCAGATCTGATCGGCCAACCACAACCCGAGCGTTCACAACGCACTACGAATTACTTCTAACCCTTTAGCACATCTATGAAAAGGCTAACATTGGGTCACCGCGATCTTGGACCAGACTCAAATCAATTTACGGTCCAGCAGAGGGTGTATGGCGTTAGGAGACTTTTTTGGACCTCAAAAGACTCTCCGTGCAAAACGTCTTAGCCTGCAAAAACGGTCGGGGCCGATACATGACTCGACGCCATCTAAAAATAATTGTGAGTTACGAGCTTTATATTGCTTGCGCTTTGCACGTTTTGTCGCCTAGCGCCTGCCCTCCCCTATAGAAGATTGTATTGTCGAAATGGTAGCCTTTCAAAAGAGATTCCAACTATGTCTTCAAGAATTTGCTCAAAGGTGTATCGAAGGGATGATCTATCACGAGATAACCTAGATTTTGACGTTATACGACAAGGCTACGATAGTCATGCTGTCGAGCTTAAAGGCAGTGCCTCACCAGATTTGGAGTACACCAGATTTTACGCGTTTAATTGGGGGGAACTCCCTTACTAGGCCTTCAAGTCTCACTTGATAAGACCTCTCTTACATTGAAAAAATTGGCTCGAAGTGGCTCACGTAGCGCATATCGCGTGAGCGGAAAAGTTCGTCCGCGTTGCTTCAATGGGAGGTTCGAAAAGAGGGGTTGCTGAGATTTTTGCGCAAATTGGAATCGCAATCGCATTTACTCGTATATGTAGGCTATACAAGGTCTAGACTTGTAAATAGCAAAAATCCCGAGACCCAAATTCTTTTGAGATACTGCCTTTAACATTATGCAATTCCATGGAAGATTGTATTCTGGGGTTGCTTCAAGTGCTAATCAAGAATGTAGCATGCATTTTGTTCGCTATCATACGTTGGACGGTTTCATTACGGCAGAATTTTCACAAAAATCGAGAAATTGATGTAAAAAGGCAATATAAGAACTTGAGACTATCTGCTCATATTACATGCCTCAGGACCTTAGTACCTCAGTTTCGATATTGAGATGAGATACAAAACGCAAAAAATCAACAAAATCGGTGATTCTTTGGGCGGGTAGCATAAGTCGCTTGATTGCCCCGTATCTGCTGTACACTTGAGCTTCAAAAAACAGTGATTTTGCAGGACAAATTTAAACTGAAGCGTGTGGCTTGTCCTTATCTAAGGTATACCTACCGTAATGCTACTGTGCAGTACCTCGGGCCCGGACTACGCTCTCTGAAGCCTTGCATAGGTGTCCCCACCCGCAAAGCTTCAGAAATCTTGCAACCCCCGGTATTCTCGTATCATTTACTGCCATGGATACTCAAGACTTTGAGGTTAAAATTCGACGAAAAGAGTACAGAGACACTCGTACACAAAACATTAGTCAAATGAATTTGCTCCGAACAAGTAGCAACTGAGATAAGCACTGTTGAGTTTGGCGAAACGTTCTGATAAGCGGTGCATTCGTACGAAGTGATCTCAAAACCTTGGCTGCTCAAGTTCCGCTATGCACTTCGGAAGCTACTTCATGTCACAAATGGCCACTTTATTCATTCTTTGTTCAATTTTCGTTACTGGCATGACCGCTGTACAAGGACCAACATTCAGAAGAGGTCAGTAGTTGTAGATTATGCTTAGAATAGGATATACTTCATGCTATTAATACATCAATGCAAAATTAACTATATTTTCCAACACCTTCCCTGAAATCAAGTTTGCACCTGAAGCGTCCATGTATTCGCTAAAGAATCGCATTTGTCTACACGTGCTATGTGACAGTTTCTTTATAGTGGACTTTTCTAGAATTTCAATAGTCAGGAACATTTTATTTTTCAAACTATAGAAACATTTTATTTTATTTTTTTTTCATTTTTTTTACAAACTATAGGAACATTTTATTTTTCTTCTTTTGCAAAATAAATCTTCTTTCATTACGTTTAATGCTGCTATCTCTTGTATCCGAGTCACCTCATGTGCCCAAAACTTCTGATGTAGGCTGCGATTTTATCGTTCAAGCATGAAAAGCTTTATGATGCACCTGAAGGTCTAACTCATTATTATTCACAAGGACTGCTTTTTCATCACAGCTTGACTACGCAACTTCTGCCAAATAAATACTCGTAGAATGGCTCGAATTCAATAACTGCCTGAGAATATTACAACTTCACACAAAGTTTATCAAGATCCGCTCAGGAGATCCAAAGATTCATGCCATGATTCGAACCTCATTAGAGTCTAGATTTTTGCGTTCTACCCTTCTTCGAATCTCAAACAATGAGATAACATTTGCTTTGCAAATTTCAAAATAACTGTTGAGGCCTTAGGCCAATATTCACAGCGCAATCTAACTCTTTGATAATTAAATTTTTATAGCGCTTGTGATTGCGGATGAAATGAGTACCAAAAAATGATAAAAATTTTTTCACTTAAAAGAATGTTAGAATGCTTTGAAAAGATCCAGCACACGCAAACTCTGCGAGAGATTTGGAAAGTAAAGTTTTACATGCAAGGCTGAATATTGTATCAAAGAAAGTCAATTGTTAGAGGTGTCTTCCACCCCTCCCCCCTCGAAAATGAGTCGCGAAATTTTCGAAAGTTTCTTACATGTGTTATAACTTATAAGAATGTGCAGACGACTCGTTTTTACTTGTAAACAATTAGAGTAATTTTTGAAAAATTTTAAAATTCTTAGCTTTGTAAAACATTTTTAGGGGGCGTGGCTGCCGCTAAGCCCCCTTATTCCTAAATTTCGGGGTCAGGGGTACGCAAAAAATTTGGGAAGCATCCCAAAAAAGTTTTAAGGGGGTGGCGGCTAACGCCAAGCACCTTCATCGGAAAAATTTTTTCTCGCCCCCCCCCCTCCTCGTAACTGTAATCCTGGGTACGCCACCGGTGTCTTCCTACTTCCTCTTGATTTTTCATTTATTGATTTCTCAATACCAGGATGACAATTCTCGCTAAGACTTGCTAAAAATTCCAGCCGTGATGAAATTATAAACCGTAAGGATATCAACATTTTCTCTGCTCAAAAAGCGTAATTCGCAAACTAGATCCAAGACTGTTGAGGGATTCAAAAATTCGAATATCATTGATAAGTAATAAACACCGCCATGCTGAAATGTCAGCAGAGCAAATATTTTTATATGTAGTCTACAAGGAAGTGCATTCTAATTGCAAATTTGACATTTCCAGGACTGAAGAGTGAGCTTCCGAGGTACCTGAGGATGGCACCATCAAAGGCCGTCGATCTCTCAGCAGCAGCAGTTTCTCAAGGTTCACTTGCATTTCCCTATATGCTCAATTTTCCTGCCAAAATGTTTGTTATAGGCACGTCTTTCGTGTTTTCTTTCTTGAACAGCCATATCAGTGCAAAGGACACTTCATACACAGAGAATCTTTCGGTGACCATCACGAATCCAGGGACTGTGGACGCCACAGTAACGGTAATCTTCACAATGAGTTTAAGAATGTCAGAGATGTTGGGATTCAAGCGCCGTTTTCAGATCAGTTCACCATTCCCGCTTTTCCAGAACGCTACTGTAACTGTGGGTGGCGGTCAAACAAAAACGGTAAGATTTGCATAATCGTTGGCGGCGCTCGTATTTTCAAACATCGCAAATGACTTCCGAGGCAAAGTGAACTCCTAAAACTTCTGGGGAGGCTCCTATTGGGCCATGTGGATGGGCAGCGCCCTACATCGCAGCTCCAATAGAAGTGTCCTGCGAAAGTTTTAGAGCTTCAGTGCCCCGGGATTTGCGATTGTCTGAGTTGCTCGGTTAACCACAATGTTTTGCATACTTACATTTGAAATAAGAAGTAAAGTTTTATGAATCGGCCCGAAGCTGAAATGAGAGCAGGGTCCAAGGGAACCTGGGTTGGCTTTTTAGAGCCGAAAGCATGAATATCCTCTCCGAGAAGTGAACGCGGCTCATAAGAAAGCTGCATACCCTAAGCTTCAAAGTTCTGGATCTCACACTTCTGTTTATTCTCGAGCTTTACTTCACTATAAACATACAAACGAAATCACATTGTTGTTCAAGCCGTACCACTTATTGTATGTTCCTCGATGATCTCGGCAGCCTACCATTTTTTTTCATAATCATCTTTCATCCTTCCATCTCAAAATTGCACTGATTGTCCATCCAACAGTATTAGGTTTGTGATAGAAACAAGTGTTTTACTGAAAGACTGAGATGTTCGATAAACGCAAAGCTTTGACTTCTGTACGTTGATACTTTCATCACTTTAAGACAATAATAATTATTTTAATTATTTATTATAATTATTTGTTTTTATCAAAAACATGATTAGCTCTGTTAGTATTTTGGTCGAAGTGGACTTTTCACAGGAAATTGATACGACTATAAGGCTCCCGCCAGAGTGCCGAAGTTGTGCCAGCGCTACGCCAGCATTTCGATCGATACACGTGTATTTCGCTGGGGACGTCAGCTAGCCCCGCCCCAACGAAATACACGTGTATCGATCGAAATGCTGGCGTAGCGCTGGCATAACTTCGGCACTCTGGCGGGAGCCTAAAGAGCATCGAACGCTGATTCCAAATCTGCCTTCATTATCTGCCGAGCGCCTCTAAACGTCGAGTTATGAGTGCTTTTTGAGTTGAAAAGTTGAATGCCTAATTAGCACAAAATTTGTCAGAATTGCTCAAATGGTCCAATGTTGATTATCAAAACGCTCCATTTGAACAATATATTCTGTCCAAAACACTCATACTAAACGCTGCTCTATTTGTGCGCTTAGAAGAACGTAAAATTTGATTCTACCATAATTATGCGATCATTTTTCGAACCAAAAGATATTCGTAACTGGACATGCAGAGGCGCTCGGCAGATAATGAAAGCAGAATTAGAACCGCCGTTTAATGCTCTTCGAAGTGACATAAGACTCATTTGGAAAGGCCACTTCGACTCATCGAACCTCCATTGTAAGATGATTAGTACACTTTGGGGTTTTCATTAAGTAAAAGGACGGAATGATTTTTTAGAAAACTATAGTAGGGTGTTGGGAGTCATGGAGGGGGCATACAGAAAGTTAAGGAAAATGAGGATCAGACGACAATGCGCTCGTGTTCAACTAGTTTGTAGTAAAGGTAATAAGAACTAGATATGTAGGCAGTTTGGTATGCGGATCTCTTGAGTTTTAGTGAAACTTTTTTGAACTGCGTTTCTCTCCTCGGCAAGGTCATGCATTCGACCCTTCAATGGAAACCGGTGGAATGACGGAGGGGGGGGGGGGGGGGAAGCATCATGATAAACATTGCATAAGTGACAGCATATGCCTCCACGGCGAAATTATTTGCAAACTTCAGCCCGATAACATACTTCAAGAGCTGACCAATCAATTTTCGGTATGGTATAGGCAATAGTTCGAACTTTAATTTCTCAACTACAAATGATTACTGGAGCTGCCGCTTGGGCAATCAATCAAGGCCTCTTGATTGGTGTTCCCAGTGATGGTCGGAGAAATTTTCTTCGGGGAAAAGGGTGAGAAATTTTTTTTGAAGTGACATATCGTCAGCCGCGCTCATCGATGAAGTGTTGGGAAACTCTCAAGGTTTGTTTCTTGCAAGCTCTCAAATTTCAAATAAGAGGAAGTGGCGATTGCCGCGCACCCCAAAGAAAAAAATCCCCACAAAGCTATACGGAATTGAAAACTTTGATTTCATAAATGTTTGGGTCACCTGCACAAATTTATAACACAGTGACTTCCAACAATCTTGGAGGGGGTGGATGTTGCAAGAGGGGGCCCTCTTTCCTCGGTCAGCCATAGCCACATACGAAGTTTACGTACCCAGGTTTGCCGGGCACTGCCTAGAGGAAAAAGAAAAAGTCAAAGGAGGGCTCGTAAACTTATCGTGAAGGATCTCCTGAGGCACATTATCTTCGTTCAAAACTTTGATTCTGAGAAACAGCTCTGAACCACTTTTTTCCAGGTAAACATAGATCCTCCAAGCATTCAAACCGATTACATGGATCAATACCTTCAAAAAGCAGTTGTGGAGAACAAGACGTTATTCGTAAACTCAAATGTTTCAATCTCGCTGGTTGCCACCAATAGTCTTTCCCAGGGCGGTGGAGAGGACAAATTTGTCGTTTTGCCGGTGAGGGATGCATCACTCTGGATTCTCAGCCAACGAGGGTATTTTAGATCTGCCAATTGGGACAAGAATACCATATTGTCGGAGACGAGTCTGCCAGAACTTTCCAGAGTTATCAATCAACGAATATTCTTACTATAATTGCTGTGGAAGACAATACCACGGTCAGTCTATTGTAACTGTATTGAACAGACATCTGAAGCTCAGAACTTGAAATTATACAGGTATCAATGAACTACCTCTACGAAACTCCTACAACGCTAAACCGAGGCCAGCAACTGACTATTGCTACATACTACATGGCCGTATGAAGCTCTTTTGATTGTTTTTCTTCCTATTTATATTTTCCAGACTACCATTGCTGTTACTTCGAATAAAAATGTAGCTGTGCTGTCAGGATCGGTATGTGGCTACGGATATTACAATCCAAGTCACTGTAGCTACGAGGTAATTTTGAGTATGAGCTCATATGAGAGAAATCGTAACTTTGACCTTTATGAGATATACCTGATTTGGAGAAAAACCCGTACATTTCAAAAAATGTGGTGCTCCTCTTCGAGTCAGCAGAACCTATATTTTGTGAATTCAGGCACTCATGTTGGCTCCATCATCAAGCTGGGGAAATGAAGCGCCGTTCTACAAGTATCTGCCAGAGGACTTGGGAGAGTTCATGGTCCTCTTTGAGGTCTGTTTGTTCGTGGAAAAAATGTTGAAGACAAGATTTCTGAACCTTTAGAATCGTACATATCTTCGGTTTCTGACATTATGTTGAGACCTTTTCGTCTGCGGCACCAGTGCCAAAACAAAAGAAAATCTGAAAAATCCTGGAACATACCTCACTGATTTTTCGTAGAAACAGGTGGCTGTTCAATTTTTTAATGAGGAAGACCGTTTTTTTTTTGAAGACAAAAAGTCTTCGTTAGCAGTGGATGGAAATAACCTTGTTTACTTTCGAAACTGACCATGTCCTCAGTATGAGCCATGCTCCAAGAAGTCGCGATTCTTCTCTCTATTTCAGAAGGATTGATAAATGCAGAAAAACCCGAGATTAAGTGAATGGTCGTCATGGTATGAGTCTGGAGGAAACAATAGAAATAGAATCAACAGCTTTGCTGCGAAAGACTTAGTCTTTTCTTCTTATTGGTATATCCATTTTAGAGATGGAGTACATTGCTCAGATTCTGGTTGTGTCGTGCACTTTTAGACGAACCATTGCCCTTACAGTAGAAAAAGTGTCTGGCCTGAAGGCTAGGATTTTCCGGCTACGAATGAATCATATAAGCTCATGCTTGGGCACTCTTTGTATGGCAAGTCTAAATGTAAGAAATCGGTCGCCGCGCGATTTCTAATTTCTGCGATTGTTCATACATCTACATCGAACATCTGCAAAACTGTCAGATCGCGTATAGTTGCGATTTTGGAGAAATCGCGCAATATATTATGAGGCTCAACAGCATTGTCCAACTTAATTGGAAGTTGGTGGGATTTTGATGCCGTAGTGAGCACGGCTCCTGACTAATGCAACAGTTCAAGTCCATTAAAAAGGTGGATTCTGAAGCGAAAAAATCGCTCCGGAAAAAATGGGCGGTCCGCCAATTTCGCCTCCTTGACAAGTTTGACGTAGTTAATACATCATACAGATCTTCAGCATTCGCCACGTCAGAACTTGTCAAGGAGGCGGGATTGGCGGACCGCCCCTTTTTTCCGGAGGGATATATTCGCTTTAGAATCCACCTTTTTCAATCGGACTTGAACTGTTGCGTTAGTTAGCCGTGCTCCAGCAGTGCGTCAAAATTCCACCACCCCTCAGTTGACCTGGATAATGCCTATAAGTAGCCCACATACCTAAATTTGCCCAGAAGCCCTTACCTTGGACAGACTTTTTATAGGTTTGAGAAAGAAAATAGGGTTTGGCATGACAGGTTAGTATACACCTCTATACTGTCACACCCAAGAAGACCTTGGCAGCTAAATTTTATAAATAACATTCAAATTACTCATTTTTAATGTATCGATTTTGATAAGTTCCGACTACCGTCTCTGTCATTAATTCATACTTCACTTGCGGCTTTTATGTTCTCTTTGTCCTTGGAGACCTTTTCCTCACGATATTTTTTCAATTTGTCTGTTGACAGAATAATAATACTGACGTCTACTTCGATGAGCAGAAGCTCTCCATTGGGCCGTTCAATCACGATAACTATCTTATTGCTGCCACAGAGACTGGAGTGTACATACGAGCCACTGGACCAATCTACGTCGTTGCTGTGAGTTGAATTACTTAGGAATTTGACAGGATGTCAGACACATAGTAGGACACCATATAAGGGCAAATTGCTAAGCTTGTATTCAGTGACAGTTGATACAAACCGTATCAAGATAAATTTTGAGGCTGAAATCAGTATGTTCTTCGCACACATCAGCGTGGGTGTTTCAAGAAAATGTGCCTACCGTTTGATTGTTAATAACGCTCTTGGCATAAAGTCTCGGGAGGAGCTTTGGGTACCATTGTGTAGAGCTGGCTTCAACTTAGGTTTACAATATGGAGCAAGTCACCGATCGCGCTCATTACTGTAAGATCACGGTGGGAACTTTCAGCGTTTTCAAAAAAAAATCTGTAAACGTATGTAATATTGTTTTCATGGGCGTTGAGTTTAATACTTAATTTTGTACAAGATTGTGAAGCTTCTAAAACAAAAAATGTGGTGCAACCACATTTTTTGAAACATCGAAAAATCAGCTGCTACTGCTTACCTGGCATAACTTTCCGAGGAAGCATTATAATATGTGCAAACTTTACATATGAGATCAGCAACTCTAATTAGCCTAGTTGAGGGTTTTAATATCGTTCTGTCTTCTCTTTGAGCAAAATATCCTCCATGGCTCATAACGCTTTTCAAAGTCTCCACCGTAATCCTACAGTAATAAAAAGAGATAGGTAATTCGATCTATCCTGCAAACGTTGAAACAGCTTTACAGAATAATACCTGAATCTTCTTCAAAGACATCCTAACAAAAGGGTTATTAACATCAAAAAGTAGGCTTTCTGGTACACCTTGTATGTTAGCAGAATACGAATGTCATCCTAAACTACGTATTTGAGATTAGTTGGTTATCTCGGTCTAATTTTGCAAATTCTCAGAGATAAATTTGTGTTTGTGTTTGTAAAAGCCCCAATATCTTTTAGTAAGCACAATGGTCAGAAGAGAATCTCAAAAAATTTTCAACCTTTTCTTGCTTTCACCACGAATCTTCTGAGCAGTACGCAGTTGCAGACTTATGCTTTTGATGTATTTTTTGAAAACGGATCATTAGATTCTTCAGGTTGGCAGCACGAACACGCAGAACCAAGGCGCTCCTTTCTTTGCAAATGTGCCAGGAAGCAGCACTTTCGGACAAGGACCGTATACTTTCGGGTCAGTGAGTGTGCACAAAAACAAGCTTCAAAGAGCTGATGCTTGTATATACCCTAATTTCACGCGTATAAGGCGCGGGAGATTTTTTTCCAAAATCGACCAGCCCAGACACGTCAAAGGACTTTACAACCAAAGGAAGAACCTATAACGTGCTGTATATTGCTTGGGAGAATCGTGCGATGTAAGGTTTTTTTTTCGGGATGCAGTACACCGGCTGAGCGGCTTGCTTGAAAATTCAAAAGTGCGCCTTATACGCGTGAAATTAGGGTACTAGCCTTATGAGTAATAATCAGGATCGATAGTGCCCTCTTTGTTTTACCAGGGTTAGTGTTCGGGTACAAAACATGAAATCACGAAAGTCAATAATAAATTATTGAGATGCTTTCCATTTTTTTGGACTTCTTACAAATCTTCATATTCGAGAGGAGATTTACATAGCTAATCTCAATCTCTAGGTCTTTTCAAAAATTTCGTTATCAACATGTGGAAACAAGTAGTTCATGTAGTTTACATTTCAAAAATCTAATCCATTTTGGAAAGGGAGAGGTAGTGCTTAGATTGAATGCGATTCCAATTCTATGAGGTCGTTTCAAAAACAATTTCGCTTTTTTCAAACGGGCTCCACTTCTGATGGAACAGAGTTTTTTAGGAGATCTTGGTAGCATTCGATGCAGCATTTCATCCTCTTTCTAATGGTTATGAAATTTTTGCAAAACAGTCAATGAGCTTTCAGAAAATAACCAAAATCTGCGACGTATGCTGTTTGAGATAGTCAAGTTTCAAAATATTTTGAGACTTTCATATCAATCCTCGGAAGGAGATCAAGTAAGGACTCGATAGAGCAAACCTCATAGAATACAGTGCAGCTTTTCACTCTTTTTCATAGCTCGCGATAATTTTTTAAAAGATTTTTTTAACAAAACCATGAATTTTGGCAGGCCTACATCAGCCAAAACCGCGTCAAACATCACAATTATTCGTGATTTGAGACTACCAAGATGGTACTATGAGTTAGACTAATTTTACAAAGCAATTGAGAATTTATGGATTCGAAATATCAAATTTCGAGTTTCACGGGCACAGCCTGGGTCTCGTTGGAAAAATGAGTTATGAGGATTTTGGTTCCGAAGGCTGAACGAATCGGAAACAAAAAGCATCCATTAGAAAGAGGAGAAAATGCTGCATCGAATAATGTGCGAGCTGCTCTTTCTTTGATGTTCTACGAAGATTTAGCTTTCCAAGTAGAAAATCGGTAGCATCAGTTAAAATTTTGTTAAAAATGAATGACAAGCCGTGGAAAGGAAAAAAAATTGTTTCGCATCCTTTAAAATTTGCTTTATAGATACGTTACTATCGCTTCTTCGGAGGGTTGATATAAAAGTTTAGAAAACTTGACCATCTCAATAAGCATAGGTCGCAGATTTTGGTTATTTTCTGAAAGATCATTGATTGTTTTGCAAAAATTTCATAACCATTAGAAAGAGGATGAAATACCGCATCGAATGCTACCAAGATCTCTTAGAAACCTTTGTTCCATCAAAAGTGCCGCCCGTCCGAAAAAAGCGAAATTACTTTTGAAACGACCTAATATATTCCCCGCAGATAATTTTTTGAAGGTCACGACCGTTCAACGGTGGAGTTTGCGTGATTTGATAATGGAATTAGTTGAAAGCTTCCTCTTTCGAAAACTGCTTTTCAACTCTCCCCGTTACTCAACGATCACAATCAGCAAATGATACAATAGAATTTTTTTTAGCCTTTCAGAGGTCAGAGGACTTTTTATACATAGCGCTTCAACGCGTACACAAAGAATTTCAAATTCGGATGACCAAAATCACCGATTATTCCTCATTTGTTGGCTCAATTGATCAGTACCAAGTTTAAGGGTAGCAACGACACTTGATGAACAGCTGAATATGAAGCATTACGTTCGTGTGACATGTTCCAGTTTGGCATGCCTAGGGACTGTCAAAGTTGACAACTATATTCCTAATGGACTACTCTATGTCAGGTGAGTGAAGTACACGTGAAAGATGTGGAAGTCACCGCAGACGCTGGTAACAGAATGAAGCATTTTGGAAGAAAATGGCAAGAAATTACGAAAGACATTCTAGAATTTGAGTATCGATGGCCGTACCCCTCAAATTAGCTATGATCACAAGTGTACACTCTTAACTGATTTAGTACATGTCTCGTGAAATAGGGATTTCAAACGAAATGAGTGGTTATTTGGCAAACGGAAAATTATTTGAAAAAGCATCTGAAAAGACACTGAGTTCCTTGGAAAGATGAGATATCTGCAAAACTCATATGAAATTCTTCCAACGGTTTCCTTATTTTTCAGATTAGTCTGCATATACATAAACAGCAAAACCCACCAATCCTTTCGAAACATTTCTCCCAACTCTCTTAACACGTTGACGACAACGCGCATCCTTGGTTGTCTGTCTTGTAGGACAATGGCCTTCCACGAATGAGCTAAAAATTTCTGGTTAAAATCACGCACACTCATCTACAGTACCTACAGTCATTCTAAAAAGCAGCCGAGAAATGCGGAAGTAATTCTTAAGATTAGAGCGCAAGAGAATTTTTGAAACCAGCACATCGAAAACGGTAGTTATTTTAACAAAATTCGAACCATGACCCACCATGTGGGTCACGTCGTCAATGTGTTAAAACATTTTTAGGTGCAAGTCATCGAAAGCCACTTCAGTGAACAAGGCCGCGGGCATATTTTGTGCAATTTCATTCGCGTCGCGATCTAGCAGTACTCCAATCAGGGCCCGGCGGGGGTGGCGCTTTCACAGCTGGATATCGTTTTTGGCCCGAAAAAGCAAAGGGGAAGTCGTATTTTGGGGTTCGGGGCTGAGCCCCGGACACAAAATACGACTTCCCCTTTGTTTACCGATAAACAATGCACATATCATTCTTTATTCATCATTCCTTGTTGATGCTACTGTCCTATGAACTTAGATTCCAGCAAAGTGAAGATTCTGTGCTCCGATCGCTAGCCTGCCTGCAGGCGGGAATTCAAATCACAATTCTTGTAAGGGGAAAATAATAAAATAGGCTCGTTTTCAATGCACAAGTAACGATATGGCACCAAATTTGCTGTGTAGTTGGAGGACCATGAGCACAAAAAAAGTATGAAGAATCATGAGAAACTTATGTGAATTTAAAAAATGGTAAGTGTTTTTCGAAATTAGGTGGCTCCTTGCTTCTTTACATAAATGTGGACTAGGTCGAGAGTATTACTATATGTTCAAATCCGCTTCCAAAACCACCAAGGCACCGCTTCGATACAGCCCCAAATAGGGTTCACAGCGTTATGATCGGCCTCGGAAAGCGCGCTCCAATCTCAATCGGTTATTGTAAATTGTAAAGTTTCGCAGCTGACTAATAGACGAGTAGTATCTTAGATATATAAACGTCAAAGCTTGTGCAAATCTTGACCCTATGTTTTTTTAATAGATTTTGCGGATGAACCCATTGCGCTGAAACCTTGATGACCCGGGCTGGACCAAAAAGCCAGGTAGTACTAATATAATAAGCGCTGAGGCCGTCCATCTTATTATTTGTGTATATCTGTTTGTCAGGGACTTACGGGGGTCAAAAACAGGGTCAAAAGGGAAGTCGTAAGAAATTTTGGCTTCAAAGGGGATATCGTTTTCAAAATTCTGAAATGCCACCTCCTGCCGGGCCCTGACTCCAATGGTTTATAACTTATCGTAAGCACCGCGAATGTTCAGAAGACAGGGTAGTTCATCAATTGCGAAGGTTATATACGCTATGCATTTAGTTCGCACAGGTTGCTACTGAAGACATCCGGCAAGTTGCTAGATCGTGACTGAAATCGCCTAAAGTATGCCCGTGGTTTAAGAACTGTTTGAAGGCTTAGAGCTATGCCTCCGACAACTAACATTGGCGGATTTGCGAAACGTGGCCACAACGTAATTGAAATAAATGAATTGATTGAAATATTCATACGCCGCTCAAGGCGAAAAATTTGTTTACTTTGTTACCGTAACCCACTGGGGTACAATAGCATGGGCAACGTGGTCGATTGAATGGAATAGTTAGGTATAGCACCATCCGCATCCCCACGTATCTCGAGGTCAAAATTGTGATGTTAGGAAATATATGATTTTCAAATTTGGAAGTTTTTATACTGAACAACAACTGTTAAGAATGGGTCGCAGCAACTATTATTACGTTGATGTAGCTGTGAAAGCTGGTCAACATACCGTTTCCTTCATTGGTCCTGATACGCCGGGGGCACCCATCAGTTTCGGGTCAGTTGCGAGAGAATTGCCTTTTATAAGCTTATGGCAGACTTTATAGTGTGACTGTGTACGGTTATGGACAAACTCGAGGATATGCGTTCACTCCTGGACTGAATTATCAGAGTGGGTTTGAATTTTAAAACTGGCCTTTCATGCATCTTATATGTACAGAATAATCGGCTCACTTTGCGACATCACCTTTCATAAAATTCAGAGACAGATTTCATGCCTATTGACTTGATGTTCACTTTTAGGGCTTTTATGACTTAAATTAGTTCTTTATTTAGACTAAAGGTAAAATTAAGTTTGATTCAGGTTCTGGAACTTGCTGAAAGATTGCATTGGATGGAATTATGAAGACCGCTTCCTCATTGTTGAATGATGTGTAATAAATAATATTGTCTTATTAGCTGGCATCACTGGTTCCACAACGGGAGGGCTAGCCCAACCCGTTATGATTTCGAGAAAACCAAAAAATGAAATTTGCTTTTATCAGTGGCATACCCAGGATTTCGGCTCGGGGGGGGGGGGGGGGGAGACAAAAAATTTTTTCGGTGAAGATGCGTGGCGTCAGCCAGCGTTAGCCACGCACTCCGAAAAATTTTTTGGGATGCTTCTCAGAATTTTTCTGGCCTCCTGACCCCCACGCCCCCGAAAAATTTTTTTTACAAAGCTAATTTGATTTTTTTAAAATTTTTAAAAATTATTCCAATTATTTACAAGTAAAAACAAGCCCCTGCACATTTTTATAACACATAAGTAACTTTCAAAAATATCGCGACCCATTCTCGGGGGGGGGGGGCGCCCACCCCTCCACTATACCACAGCTTGCTCCGAATTTCATCGCAAATTTTAGTTTTGGCGACCAATTAAAGTGGTAAAATCTGGAACGATTTTATTCCTTTTGCTTCTCTCTGATTACCCAGACGTTCGCAGTAATGGAAGACGGCCCATGGTTCTACAGGGAAGATATTTATAAACTGTTGATCACTTGGCCCATGTCTTCTTCTCTCACTCCTGATCTTCTACACTCCAATTCATAAAATCTAGAGCACATAATCGTCGCTGGTCCGCTATAGCTCCTTTACAATACAGGTATTATTACTGCGTAAGCCCCAAAGCGGTGGCGAACCACATAGGGTACACCCACATTCCCAAAAAGAAACCATATACCCATCCCAACAATTTTCGCCCTGTTAGCATCACGCATCACCTCCATTTTTGCCAGGTTGTTTGAGAAAAAACTGAAAAAATGAATTGTCAAACACTTCGACAATCGTGGGATCATTTCCGCCACCCAGCATAGATTTCAACGTGGTAAGTCGACTACCACTGCGATGCTGCAATCAATCAATGAGTGGACCCTCAACTTCGATAGGGGCCTCAATACCGATGTACGTAGTTTTGTTGGACTTCAGTAAAGCCTTTGATAAGGTACCTCATTCCAAATTAATCCAAAACTTAACAAGTGTTGGGTTGCATCCTCGCATTGTTGCCTGGATCAAAGCTTTTCTTGATGACAGGTCATGATTCGATTGGTATGGTTCGTATCAATGACACTTCCTCTCGACCTAGACATACAGGGCTTTTCAACCTGAGAGTCGCAAGTTTCGCTTGCGCGGCTCCTCCAACGCGGCCGCCTCGCTCAGGCCGCGCGCGGCGTTTGCTGCGTATCGCCCGGATTTCGCCAAGCTTCAGTCGACGCGCAGCCAGCGCCACGAACGCTGCGCGGACCTAAGCGTGGCGTCCTAGCGGGGCGGGTGGGACACTCAGGTTGTAAAGCCCTGTACATCTCCCATTCTTTTCAACATCTACACATGTGAGCTTCCACAAGTTTCTGTTGAATTTGGCGCGGCTTGCTGTGCCTTTGCAGACGATTTCAAGCTGTACACGACAGTAATGGAGGATAGTGATAGCAGACGTTTACAGCAAGTGCTAGATGAAGTTTGTGAAGGGTCGCAAGATTGGGGTTTGCCAATATCCAGGGAAAAAAGGCAAAACCATTCACATTGGACTATCACAATGTAATCCAAGCTCTGTGTACTTCCTGGACAATTCAGCACTCCAGGAAGTGGAGTGGCTCAAGTGGACCTAGGCTTCTGATAAAATGTAATCTCATAATTGATGAGCATTGTAGGTTTACTGCAGACGAAGCAATGAGGGCGGTCCACAACCCTTTCAGAGACCTTTCAACTCAAGGCGTTAAGGTCCATTTCAGAGCGTACAAGACTTATATCAGACCTATGTTGGGGTATGGTATAGTGATATACAACCCTCATCTGGTCGAAACCTCATATTTTGAAAAGGTTTGTAACAGTTTTACGCGGAAAATGTTTATTCGTATTATGGGTTTTGCGTATGATCTCATACTGGATAGTAAGACTCGTAATAGTAAATTAGGTTTATCATCTCTTGCCTATAGGAGGCGCAGAAGTGACGCAGAAGTTCTAATGGCCCATAAGATCTGGTTTGGAAATTGCGGTCTGGGGTTCAAGGAGTTCTTTCCTACCAGACGATCCAACACCAGAGGTGGTTCAGGAAACTAATTATCCCCAGGGGCAAGACTTCGGGTCAGGCGAAGTTGTTCATGTCGCAATATTCATGATATGGATATGCTCATAGGAATTGAATCTTTTTTGCTAAACTATCTATGTTCAAATTATTCTAAAGAATTATGCACAGTCCGGTAGTGGAAGTTGTTATTAAGTAAGCGTAGCGGCAGTGGAGGCGTGCTCCTGGCTGGCAAGAACAGAACACCGATCAGTACTTAGTAGTTTATCGTTAAGGCATCAATGTAGACAGAGGACAGTATATGAATATGCGAGAATAGGAGATCATCGGTAAAGTAGTTGAGCTTGGAGATTGGATAGGTACTGGATCGGAACAGCATCAGCCAGAGACGAGGAGGGGTACAGTAGGACGGCCGGTCGGTGTCGGGGCGAAGGAGCGACTCCTCGAGGTTTCGTATCGTCGGTCACGCCCTAAACATATGAATCATGTCTTCTGGCATTCCATCGGAGATGCAAACGGAGATGCAAAAGCATCTCCCTTACACCTCCCTTATTTACCAACAAGTCCGTCCTCGGACTTCTAATTAAGAAAAAGTATGTAAGGCAAAGTATATGAAAGAATTATATAAAGAATTATATACGGAAGTGTATAAGTAAAGGTGTAGCATATCATAAAATATAAAGAAATAGTATGTATGGACATAAAGAAAACAACGAAATATATAATGAAGGTGTAAATATATATAAAGAGAGCTAATGGTGAAAATCCCACCGTTGTCCAGGAGGAAGATACTGGTCCAGTTGAGCAGCAGGTACCACGGCGTGGCGTTCTTCGGCCCAGGCCAACACTCGGTTCCAGAAGTTGATGCGACGAAGTGAATCAGTATGGCCCAGCACGAACAAACCTTGGCGGGAACGGGTGAGCGCAACATTCATGCGTTTCTGGTCATCTAGGAACTCGCCAGAAGTAGGCTCAAAATCAGTTCGGGTGGTAAGGAGTATAACGATGTCTTGAGAGGAAGAACTGGGTAAGCACCATCAGGTACTTGCAAGAAGTCGATAACGAGCGAGAAACTGCCAGTATGAGAGGATGAGATTCCGCTCAAGGTTCTTCAGTAGACGATTCGGCCGCAGCGAGTGCTGAACAAGCAACTCTAAAGAGATGAGCCATGCGCTTCTTTGCTGCGCGAGGATCACGAATGTAGCTATCAAACTGGTCAAGACGATCTTCAAGCCAAAGCCATTCGCTGTAGTGCTCCTCGCGCGCGGGGACCCCAAGATCAGAAGTTGAGGAAGATTCACGCTCGGCACTGGTGGAAGAAGTGGGCATCAATGCTTCCATTTCTCTCGGCTCGGAGGTGAGTGGCACATGAGTAGGCGCGGTCAGTTGTTCCATGCCTGCAGCTGGTGTAGGAGTAACTGTCGAGTCGCCTTCCATAGCCTCGCCGGGTAATCCTAAACGACAGAACGTCACAATTATACGAGCAGAAGGTAAACGAAGAATTGTATGGAAAGGGAATCTTATGATCACTTGAAAGCATGCCGAGTCACGGCTTGCGAAAGCTAAACAAACCTGACGAGGATGTCACTGGTGAGGGCCCAGCAGGGCTAGCACTAGGCTTAGCAGGCTGCCCGGGAGCAGGATCGTTTGCGTCTGGAGTTAGCGAAGACATATGAGCGCAAGGGGCTTTTCGCCAAGCTTATCTGCAAGCATAAATATTGTGATCTGCCTGATGTCAGGGAGGCGAACGATACGACGGTGAGCGAAAAACACGAGGTTATAAGACGACGGTAGGCGATAAACGTGAACACTATACGCGAGAATTGTAATGAGGAGAACATAAGAAAATCTGTGATGAAATCACAAGTGTATGTAAAAAAGAAACGTGTTGGGAAGAAATAATTCTGAATCCACATATGAATGATATCGAATACTGGGAGGGCAACCAACAGGTTAAAGTGATGTTCTTCGTGATCTAAAGCGGGTGTTATACGTAGCCAATAGCTAATAGGGATTTCTCATCGCTGGATGCTTGCTGGAATAGTGCGGCGCCTACGGCAACTTGATTACCATCCGTGTGGAGGATAAAATCACGTTCTTGAGGGAACGCCAAACATGGCTTGGTTATGAGTTTATTCCGTAGTTCGTCAAAAGCTTGTTGCTGGCGCGGACCCCATTCAAATTTTGCTTTGTCCTTGGTTAGCTCATACAGGGGTGCTGCTATGGCGGCGAAATTTTGTATGAACTTTCGAAAGAAATTAACCATTCCCAAAAAGCATTTGACTTCTTTGACTGTAGAAGGGGTTGGGAGGCGCTTAACCGCTTGAATGTTCCTATCGCAAGGGTAGTAGCTATCTCCTGAAATTTCGTGCCCCAGGAATGTGATTTTGGAACGCGCGATGTCAACCAGTTTCTTGCCTGATACTTTGATATCGAAATCACGAAAGCGGCGGAACACTTTACGCAAAGAATTTAGGTGGCTTGGGAAGTCCTTGTCGAAAATGACAATATCATCCAGGTATGCCAGGCAATTCTCTTCCAAACCGGCTAGGATACGGGACATGGCACGAGAGAAATACGCGCCGGCGTTTTTGAGTCCAAAGGGGAGATAAACGAACTGGTAAATTCCGCGGTGCGTTGCCCAACCACATTTGGCTTGACTCTCTGGCGACAGTAGAAGTTGCATGTACCCAGATGCTAGGTCAAGGGATGTATAATACCTGTTACCCGCAATCTCTAAGATATCGTCAATACGGGGCAAGGGATAATGGTCGGGGATGGTAATGTCGTTTAGTGGACGAAAATCGAGACAAACGCGAAGGGTACCATCGCGCTTCTTAACCAAAACCGTGTTATGAACCCATGGGGTATCACTCTCCCTAATCCTACCGGCTTTCAACAATTTGTTAATGTGGTCGTCAAGTTCCTTCTGGAACTTAACCGGGATACGGGTAGGTCGGAACCTAGTAGGAGGAATTTCGGTAGTGGTCTTAATGTGGATTGCCTCGCAATCGTATGAACCTAGGTCGTAGGAACTTTGGGATATCCTATCGCGGAACTCGTAAAAGAGAGCTTGTAACTGCTCTTTTTCTTTGTCAGAAACTTCGGACTTGCTAAGATCAACAACAAAATCAGCTTTGGGTTCAGGAAGGGGACAGCGATCAGCCGCAACAAGAGGTTGTAAGGCAAACAAACTCATGCTAAAAACACCGAGGGTCCGAAAGCACCCCATTCTCCTCTACTAATGGAACCGCAGTAGAAATTCTCTGATTTTTATATAACACTTGGGGACTACTAGTAGGATTTGAAACTAATAGGTGAATCGTACCTGCGGTGAATACAGTAGGAGAAATCAGTAGCGAGCGCTGGAGCAGATCCTCAGATTGCGTCACCAGCATGACCGGCACCGTGGGGCTCGAAGAAGTATAGCACGGCACATACGTTTCGGTTCCAGGTTGTAAAGGTGTTGTTTCTGAAACACGAACGATTACATCTCCTTCTACTTCCGCTTGCAGCCGTTGCGACACAGTGCCAAAAATTCGGATTTGCTCGCCATTAATAGTAAAAGTATGATTTGTATAATCGATGGACCAAGGTGGGAGTTGGGACAATACGTTGTTACCTAGGATGAGATTAAAGGAGGCTGCGTGATGGGGAATTGAAGATTCCTCCGTAAAATGTACGGCAGCAGAGATGTGATGCGACCCTATCTGGAGATTAAGGCGCGCGCATCCTAGGAGGCCTATCGGTATGCCCGCCATTCCGATGGCGGTGTCTACTGAGCTGCGCTCGAAGTGGAAAATACCTAGCAAGGTAGCTAATTCACGGCTTGCGACGGAGATAGCGGCGCCAGTGTCAATGAGGCCTAATACTGCTATGCCATTTGCTTTGATAGGAATTTGCGCCACAAAGAAATGAGTATTATCATACAAAGATAAGACGTGAACTGGAGCTATTGTTAGCTTAGGTGGCCATGCGTGCGAAGAGTCTAGCGCAAGACGAGTAAGCTCGATGGGTTGTTCCTCTAAGGTATTCGCCAAAGAAGGTATAGGAATTGGGTTGTCAGAGGATGGACAAATAAAAGGAAGCGGACGCAACGGAGTGCGCAAATTAGAAGGAGCTATACGTGAGATAATACCAGCATAGGATACGTTGATATACAAAAGAATTAACTTCTTGAGAGTTGTTAAAGTCACAGTTGCGCAGCAAATAGTTATCCATGCATTATACGGAGAAAACCCTATCAGGGCAAGTAGAAGGGCAGAGCTGCTACCAGATTGGGAGTCAGGAGAAACTTGAGAAGAGTAATCATTGTTACCTAATGTACCAATAAGTTTGTGGAAATTCTGAGCTGTCCAAAGTTCTTCTAACTGATGCTCTTGCACGAGCTCACTAAAGTTCGTAAGCACTAGATTATGAAAGATTGTAAGAGATGGAATGAAATTAACGTCATGGGGAACAGAAGCCAATGAGATATTATGAATGTGTTGATTAGATATTTTAGAGAATGAGTGGGAAGATGCATCATACTGGAGAACTCCATCAGGAAGAGAAAAGTAAAAGGGGCGGAGTTTGGCGCAAGGTAACGGATCAGCGTTGGAAGTAAGCACCCAATTATGAGGATCAATGAAGGTAACCCAAGATGACCCACTAGGCAAAGTCAGCTGAACTTGGGGTTTGGTATAGCATGTAGAGTTGAAAGGTAAAATACGATAGTTAGCCTTAGGAATACGCATACAATTATGGATTTGTACAAAACCATTCCCTAAGTAAGAAGCTGCAACGTCAACGCGGTTAATTAACTTGCGCACGGTATAGGTTGGATCGGATTTGAGAGAAGAGTGGAGCGAGAAAGCAAGAGTATTGGTACGATCACACAAAGAAGCCAAAGCATGGTGAAAAAGAGTGGTGAGAGAGCTCTGAACGCTATCCTCTACGGCTAGCAATTGTGCTGCGAGTTGATTGGATGTTACTATCCCTACTTGTGTTTGCGTGGAACGTGCTAGCCGCTTAGCCTTAGCAATTGCATAACCCTGGTCGGTAACTGTTAGGGAAGTACCGCAGTCAACTAGAGTAGAACTGTCACTACGCCAAGATAAAGCAAACTCTTTCGAGTCGCTTATCCAGATGTTTCCTAGCAAGTGGCCATGCATCTTGGAGATGGGAATAAACGCGCAAAGTTCTTCCTGGGCTGGGGTCCAAAGTAGCACCGACCCATCTTTAAGCGTGCAAAAACCATCCTTGTACGAGCAATGCCGGAGATCACCGACCGCGGTGTCGGGAAACTGGGACCCATGATGCGCATGCACCATTGTAGGGGTTAGGTAACAATTAGTTACTGTTAAGTGATGGTCCGAGCAACAACCAAAGGGTGCAGAGGGAAATTCAAAAGTGAGAGGATTATCTGTCTTAAAAGATTCCCCTGCCGGATGCATAACCCCAAACTCGCATTTATGGTGCTGTTTCATCTGCCTACAATGTTCTACCGTAACAGTTTTATAAGTTTCTGAAAGTGTTTGATGGCGCGCCCCGAAAAAGTTAACGGAATAAGTTACTGACTGCTCAACTATTCTGCATAAAGTAGCCGGAGTGTCATAGCGCTTAGAATTAGGTCGGTAAACATGAAGAGTAGCGCGAACAGGGGGATTAGTTATGTTAGGAATTAGATAGGAGCAGTTATATGTAAGAGGGATATGACTAAGTGGATCAGATTTATCGTGTGGACACAGCCACACAGGCTGAGAGTAAGCAGAGAAGATACAGCAAGACATAACAACAGAAGCGAAAAACAAAGCGTTAACTTTAGGAAGAGTAGACGTGGAAGGTGATGTAGAGGAATGACCAAAAGCTGAGTGGGCAAGCTCTTCGTTTCGTTGCATGAGTGCCGAAATGCGAGCATTAGAATTTTCGAGAGCTGCCTGATTTTGTTTCAAGGATAGAGATAGAGATTCAATTTGCTTACGCGCATCTTCTAATTCACTATTAGAATGAGGCGAAATACTAAGCAAGTTAGGAGAAGCTCTACGGTTAAAAGCTGGAGAACGAGAACGAAAAGGGAATCTAGGGCTGCGCGATCTTAGAAAACGTGATGTGAACCTACCTGTTTGCTGACGTTGTCGCCTCCTTGACGGGCATTCAGGAATAGTGTGTCCTCGACCGCCACAGTTATAGCAAAAAATACCATTCGCCATGTTGTCCTGAGGCCTTTGTTCCATTGGTTCCTGAAATCGCACACGATTAGCATTTGGTCTTACTCTACCTGGATAGCTTTCCCTACTGTAAGGGCTTCTAGAGCGAAAGGGGTTGGAAGGACGCTGGTTACGATTAACAGTAGAATTATCAAATGAGGAACGGGTGAAAGGCTTAATGGAACTCACGGTCACCGGTTGAGACACCTGAGACGGGTGAATAAGTCGATCCCTAGAAGCTTCAGCCAACAGGTTCTCGACTCGTTCGGCTTCGGCCACTGCTTCCTCAAAAGATGACGGGTTAGCATACTTAACATGAAAACGTAAGTCAGAATTCAATCGTTGCAAAAATTCTTGAAGGAACACTTCATCATTAAGAGAAGGGTCCTTACCTGTTGCAGTACGTAGTAAGTTAAGAAGGCGAAATGCAAAAGCAGAGATAGACTCACCCGCGGCCTGTCTGCACGACGACAACTCTTGTCTGGCATCCGCCATCTGCTTGGGCCCTTCGTAGTGCTTGCGCAATAGGGCCACAATTGCGCCATAGTCGAGCTTATCCTCCGAGGATAGGGTTTCAACACGTTCCCTGGCAACAGACTCTAAATGCGCAACTAAATAGTTAGCCCTATCCTCCGCTGTAACAATCTTGCGTAAGCGCATTGAGTCCTCTAGGCGGCGCAACCACAATGAAAAGGATTGTGAATTAGAAGTACCCGAAAATGGGACGATTCTGGACGAGAGCCCATCAGGGCAGCAAGTTGCAACCAACGGGAATTGTTCCATACGAGAACCCACTACCGCAAAAGACTGGTTAATCCCCTCTAAGAGATCCGAATTACCTTGGTTCAGCTTCTCCGCCAGTTGTGCGGTAGTCTTCTTAGCGTCCCGCCAGGCGTTGACCAAAGCATCTGTCGTGGCACTCTTCAATTCCTTGGCGTCACGTCCATGAACCACGGCCGAGTCCTCAAGGGTCGCCAACGCCGACGTCAAAGGCGCCGTGATAGCCTCAAGCGCCCCAGGTGGGCTCGAGGTATCCGACGCGGGCTGCTCCACCTGCCCCTTTGAGCGAGTAATCGGTACCATGAAAGCTAAAACGGGATAAGTCCCAATATCAGGGAAGTTAAGAGACAAGAGTAGAAGTGGAAGCCCAAACCTTGAAGAAAGATGCGAGAGCGAACTGCGAATTCTTCGTCAGTATGAAGACAACTAAGTCCGATGACCTATTATATAGCTGCGCTGCTTATCAAATGTTACATGGTAGCGCCAAGATGTTTTCCTAAGGGGATATCTATGTTATCTATCTATATCTATGTTTCTGATCAAAGACAGCAATCGTCATGCTAAGGGAAAACTTTCGAATATGGTAAGCATGTGTTATTTCTCTGTTATCTATGTTTTGTATCTATACCGGATGTGAGAGAATGTTAGCTTGCTATTTGATATTTCCCCTACGACTTATCTATGTTTATGATCTGGCTGTGCAAAGCCGTTATCTCTACTTTCTCAAGAGTCGCGCTAGGTTTTTGTTGCTAAGAGATACCGTAATACGAGAGAATTCAAACAGTTGCTCGCGGCTGAGTGCAAAATGCGAAAATACGATTCGGAGCGCAAAGTCCCTAAGAAACCAGCTTGGCTCACAAAGACACAAAGAGCTGATTCAAATGAGCGCAAGCGCAAGTTGAATGAAGTTTTGCATGGCGCCACGAGGAAGTGCTTGAAAGCTTAGCGCGAGCATGGAAAACAGTCTCAGAAACAAAGAAGTTCAAATTATCGGCGCTTGAAAACAGCGAGAGATTGCGAGCGGAAGAGAGCCGACTGCGAGAGGAATACCGTAAGATTAGCTACGGAGAATAATGATATGAGTGAAATATCCAGCTGTAAATAGTGTACGAAATCACTAAATGAATCCAGAATTATGTTAAAAGAAAAGGTCTCCAAAAGATATCTCAATAGTAATTTACTAGTCAGGCGCGATACACGCGCACGCTCAAACAGTCTACACCACGAGAGA